CGGCCTCCCAGCCCCTCCTCCCTCAGATCCAGGAGCCCAGGTCCCCAGCCCTCCTCCCTCAGACCCAGTGGTCCAGGCCCCCAGCCTCCTCCCTCATACCCAGGAGCCCAGACCCGCAGCCCCTCCTCCCTCAGACCCAGGAGTCCGGTCTCCCAGCCCCTCCTCCCTCGGACCCAGGAGTCCGGTCTCCCAGCCCCTCCTCCCTTGGACCCAGGACCCTAGCCCCAGCGCACCCCCGATCCTCTTCAGTGTCCACCCCCAGGGCTCCAGGGTGTGCAAGGCTTCTCGCATCTTCTCCTTGGACCTCCGAAGCCGCAGGGCCCAGTTGGCCACTCTGGACCCGGACCCCTGAGCCATTTGGTCCCGGGCGTGGAGCTGCCTGGAAGGAAACAGAGTCAGAGACAGAAAAGGAAGGGACCTGGCTGCCCCGGATGGAAACCGCCCGAGGCGGAGACGCCCCGACAGTGCGCTGTGGGGGCTCCTAACACGGACCCCACAGCAATAAAAGGAAACACGTGACGCTGAGCGCAGGCAGCCGGCAGAACCCCAAGACTGCGGGCTTCTATTCACACAGTCCCAGAGCGAGCGGGGGACCCTGCCCTTCAGGCAAGCAGACCCCGTGGCCAGCTCTGCAGAAGAGCCAGGAGAGGTCACGTGTGCGTGGGAAAGGCGTTCTCCTGGGGGGGGGGGCAGGGGAGGGGCACGGGGGGTGCTTCAGGGGCTGCAATGCCTCTCCCCATGGGCGGGGTTCCCCGGGGCTCTCACTATAGGGAAACTCTCTGAGTCTGTCCATCATGTTTCCTGCAGGCAAATCTCATCATAAAGTAAACATGCAAAACAAAACAAACACAGAAGGGAACAGAGAACGCCCTGGCCGGTGTGGCTCAGTTGGTTGGGCAGCGTCCGTGCACCAAAAGACTGCGGGTTTGATTCCTGGTCAGGGCACATGCCCGGGGTTTGGGCTAATCCCTAAGAGGGGGTGTGCATAGGAGGCAGCCTGCCCAGGTTTGATTCTGGTCGAGGGCACATGCCCGGGTTGCGGGCTTGATCCCCAGTGTGGGTCAGGCAGGAGGCAGCCAATCAATCACTCTCTCTCTCTCTCTCCTCTCCCTCTCCCTTCCTCTCTCTCTCTCTCTCTCTCTCTCTCTCTCTTCTCTCTCTCTCCCTTCCTCTCTCTCTCTCTAAAAATCAACTTTAAAAAAGAAACGGAGAGCCCAGCTGGCATAGCTCAGTGGTTGAGCCTTGACCTGTGAACTAGTTCGAATCCCGGTCAGGGCTCATGCCAGGGCTGTGGGCTCGATCTCAGTGTGGGATGTGCAGGAGGCAGCCCATTCATGATTCTCTCTCATCATTGATGTTTCTCTCTCTCCTTCCCTCTCCCTTCCTCTCTGAAATCAATAAAAATATATTAAAAAAAAAAAGAATTATAGCCCTGACCAGTTTGGCTCAGTGGACAGAGCATCGGCCTATGGACTGAAGGGTCCCGGGTTCGATTCCGGTCAATGGCATTTACCTGGGTTGCGGGCACATCCCCAGTAGGGGGTGTGCAGGAGGCGACTCATTGATGTTTCTCTCTCATCCATGTTTCTGACTCTCTATGCCTCTCCCTTTCTCTCTGTAAAAAATCAATAAAGTATATTTAAAAAAAAAGAATTATAGAAAGAAACAAGGGTCAGTTTCAAGAGCCACCTGGGGCCCATTCATGGGTGGCCCCCCCCACCCCCACGTGTGTTTCTAATGCTTTTCTGTTGTGGACTTGACAACAGAAGTAGCTTCTTCACTTTTCACCGGGCCCTGCAAGTCCCTCGAGGAGGGAGGGAGGAGAGAAAGGAGCGGAGAGAGACAGGACTGGAGGGGGAGGACATAGCAGAAGAAACACTAATCAGATTTCAGACACGGAGAGAAAGTGACAGTGGGGACAGGCTCGGAGGGAGGGAGGCCTGTGAGATTGGGCGCCAGGTGGGAAAGGAGTGAGTGCCCAGCCACAGGGAGAGGCAGCCTGGCGGCCAGAGAGTCAGAGACACAGGCCGGGAAGAGGACCCCAGAGAGGCAGCTCTGAGAGGCAGGGCGGGATGGAGGCCCAGGCTCACCTGTGTGCCCGTCGGGCCTGCATGGGCCAGGGCAGCTCCCGGGAAGGGCCGGGGTCCTGCAGCTCCTTCTGGGCGGCTTCTGCGAAGGCCTGGATGTTCCTCTCTTCATCCTCATCCTCCTCCAGCACGCCCCAGGGCAGCACCCCGGGGCCTCGGTACCGAAGGGTAGCAGCGCTGGGCAGTTCATTCAGCACCGAGGACAGCGTCGGGCCTGGGCAAGAAGGCAGGCGAGGGGAGAACCC